CAATTATTTTAGTTGATTTACAAAGTCTAAAAAAATAGAGTTGGGTAGTAACTAACTACACTTACTCAGTTACATTTAACTTCAGTAACATTTTGGAAAAAACTTAGTTTTATAAGTATTTTTACTAAGCTGCACTTTTTACTTTTACTTGAGTAATTTTATTATGAAGTATTTCTACTCTTGCTTGAGTAAAATTTCTGGATGTTTTACCCACCGAACGAAAAACAAACATGTTTTAACCAAAAATTCACCAGACACAGACACACCTGCAGTTTCTGTTAAAGTTTCATAATTTTTTTCTTGAAAGAAACCGATTTGGAAAAATGTTTCTTTTGCCTGATTTTATTCTTTTGTAATTATGTTGTTATTTTCATTTTGCTCTTTAAAATACCTAAATTTCCACTTAACTTTATATTTTGGCCTGTCTAATACTGTGATTTTTCAATATTAAATGATATTTTAATCAGTTACTCAGTACTTGAGCAGACTTTTCAACCAAATACTGTTTTATTCGTACTTGAGGCCTTTTTACCTTTACTGGAGTAAACATATATTGCAGCAGAGCTACTCTTACTTCAGTGCAATTTTTGGGTACTCTGCTCACCTCAGACTTCTACAGCGCTCATGCTTTATATTTAAAACACTCAAAATATGGAAGGTAAACAGATTAATTGATACTTGGGATTAAATAAAAAACATTTGCAGTGAAACATTTAGACAGAATGCAAAGTTCAACACCAATATTTATAATCTCATCACTAACTGCTTAGGGGTGAAAGTACATAAGAACACAAATGATCATACCAATAAAACAAAAGCTCCTTTTTATTTATCTGTTTTGAAGTAATTTTTTACTCCAGAGAAAGACGAGGTTGTCCTAAGCTGGGGTGAAAGAACTAGCAGAGTTTTATGATGTCTTACTTTTGCTGAGGAACTCAATGAGCTGATAGATCTGTGCGATGGAGCTCTCAGTCAGCGTGGTTCCAAAGACGGCGCCTTTATCTGTTAAAGCATGAAGACGCATGAATTAATCATACAGTCAAAGTTTAATTTATTAATTATTTTATCTCTAATGCATTCAGTTTTTTAGAACTCATTCCATATTCATTATTTTTTTCACTTTAATCAATCAACTATTCAGGTGGGAAGATGGTAGTCATGACAACGTGATGCGAGTGATTTTTACCTTTTCGCTTAAGGAAGTTGAAAGAGCGGAAAAAGCCTCCATTTCCACTTGTCGGGGTTTTGGGACAATCCTCACCGAGGAGCTGGGCGAACTCGGTCCCAGGAAGGTCGATAAGCCGAGTTATGTTACTGAGCACAAGCTCCAGGAACGCGTCGGGGCTCTCGTGGCGGAGTTTCTCAACAAAAAAATCTGGGTTGAAGATGACGGGCGGTCTGACAGAACAAGAGGAGCCGGGCGACTCCTCACAGTGGGTCACCATGCTTCTGAGAAGGAGATGCACAACAATCAGGCAGGAAGTTAACTGAAGGTGAAAATGAGATGTGTGTGATTGCGACATCTTTATCAAAAATAATTTTAACATTTCCAATTTCACAAAAAGAAAGTGGAAAGACACTAGAGACAAAACAGGGATAAGATACTACGGAACCCAGTGGTGTCCAAACTTTTCCCAAAATGGACCAGAATCCTGAAGACTTACTTTTAAATTTATATCTCTATTTAAAATGGAGTTAAAATTAAAATAAAAAACACTTTTTGCCTAAGACTTTCCATCAAATAATTAAATTTGTCATTGAAATTCTTGTGCTAAAAAGTAACAAAAGTGCCTAAAGGAGGGGCAAATTTCTAACATTCTGGACCTGCAGGCACAAATTATCCCAAGGTCCACAAATGGTCCCTTGGACACCCTGACCTAATCTGTAGTCTGTTGATTATTCCAATGCACAAACATGAACATCTTGTACGTGTTTTCAAATTATCCGACTCAATTACACTTTTTTTTAAATATCTGCACTGTATTATTTTTTTCTACAGTAAATTTGCTTTGAATGTACAGCTGTTATTGTTTTTCTTAACCATTTTGTAATTCCAGGTCACAAACTGTATTTCAGAAGAATTTGTTCAGTTTGGAATTATTTGATTCTGTTTTAGTCATTTAATTTATCTTACATAGAAAACTGAAGCACTATCAAAGAGTGTTTTGGACCCCTTAAATAAAATACTGCCCATCACACACACAAGAACCAAATGCTAACTTCAGCATCGTCACCTAAAACTGACAAGACCTGCATTTTCTTATTTACGTATTTTGATAGCAGTAAACATTAAGATAAACCCCAAACTGTATCCGGTCTCGCGTTTTATTGATAAAAGTCAGGCAAAGTCAACGTTAGCAAGCTAACCGCAACGTCATGCAATTAGCTTCTCTTGAAACCTGTTATTGCTAATCATAAGACATACTGCGCAAAAAAAACTGCCATAAGAAACAGCTAACGTTCAACGTAAGACCTCGGAAATGTCTCTTCTCCAGTGTTGGAACTGACAAACAACCTAATGACGGTAATATTGTTGATTTACCTTCTAATTTGCGTGCTTTCATCAACATCGTTCCCCGCAGCCATGTTCAGTTTGAATCCTGCGCTGTTGTCCCTAAAGCTCCGCCCACTTCAACAGCCATTGGTCAGTTCTTCAAAGTAGGTGGCACGTAGCGACTTGATTTGAATGTACCTTCCTGTGATTGGTCTGTTTGAATTTACTGTTTGTCAAAACAAAAGCGTGAAGCTGGTTATAAAATTTCGGGCATTAATACTATTATCGATGCTCCTTGTTTACAAATAACGTCAAAGTAAACTATACAAATCACATTTTGTCATTGACTCCCTTTATTTTGCAGGATATGCTTTCAGTACTGTCAAATTGTGAAATGTTTTCAGTTCAGATAACACACTACAAACGTATTCGCGAAAATGCAAATCAATATTTTTGGCAAATAAGTATGACGAATTGTTAATGCTAAATATGTACTTACTGACCACGCAAGCCGATAAAGTTGACATGCAAGTCATAGCTATACAACAAAAACTTGAATGTAGCTTAAAAACAAGAATATGGTGCGCAAATTTTAATTTATCGAGGGTTATTTTACACAGTTCACACAGGTTCTAAATTATATACACCGAATCAAACCGTGGAAAATATATTCAAATAAGAACTGCGTTTTTATTTCATACACGGATTATGGTTGCAATATTTCCTTGTAACACGTTTTTCTTTTTTCAGACAGCATCATCAATAAATGTCAGTAAATTGGAAAATAAAATTGGATCCAATTACTGGGTACTGTTTAGTGGTACATTTGTACTACTTAAAAAAACAGTGATGAATCTTTGAAGATCATAATTTTATTGTTATCACCTCAAATAATGTGATACCTACATACACCCTCACTAATATTCAGTTAAAATTTCCCACACATTGGAAAGAAACCACACAAACAGTATATTTATGAATCAGGAATGGAGCTCTTTTGGACCTACAGCTATTATCCACCTTTGCTCATCTTTGGAAAAAAAAAAAAAAAAAAGCTCTTAAGTTCAGTCCATTTCTGCAAAATGTATTTTGGTTTGTAATTTTTTAGCCTGTATATGAATTAGAGAAGATCCACTTTTAAAATTCATTAAAATTCACCTCTGAATATCTCTAAAAGTGGAGCAAACAGCTTGTCTTTCTCCTGGAGGCGTGATGTCTCTGTGGTGAGGAAATTGGGCTCCATATGCTGGTCTAATCCGGCCCAGGTGGTCCTGTCCGCTTCTATTAGACGAGGTTCCTGCAGGCCAAATCTGAATCGGAGAGCAAAGCCGAGCCACGGTGTAATCTTAAGCTTTCCTCCAGATCACAGCAGAACCGCGAAGGGAAAGCTCTGGCTCTCATTCTGAGACCTGTGCCCTGAGTTAGAGACACTTTTTATTCTTTCAATAAATGTGTGTGGAGAGAATAATTGCAGAAATTAATGCCTCTAAAACCTTTTGTTTGTCAAATGAAAAATAAAGTGCAGAAGTCACAACAGAAATTCACTGAATGAACCGGTAACAGAATTAAATGCAGAATTTTCTTTTAATGTTTCAAAGTTCAATTAAAGTGAAAAATAAATCGTTTTATGAACAGAGTGAATCAGCTTTTATTAAGAATTCTGAGAAACGACACAGTTAATATGCTGGCAATATAAAAATAAATAATATCCAATAAATAAATTAATAAATATTATAAATATTTTATTTTTAAGGTTTCCTATGCGTCTGTTCAAGTCTAACTTTTATCCAGACTTAAATTCATACAAATGTAAAAACATACAAATTATGAATCATATTTTTCTGTTGTGGATGGATGTATATGTGAGTGCACTGTAAAAACACAATCTTACTAAATATTTTTGGTCTAGGTTCTCAAGCAAATATATGACTACACTTGAAAAAAGGCAAAACTAACTTGCAAGTAACTTTTCAGCAGATTACAGTGCCATCCTACAGCACAATCAAGTTACCACATTAACTTGAAAAAAATGATATATATATATCAAAAATGACTTGAAATAACTTTTACTTTGTAATTTAACACCTTGAAATTGGGCCTCTGTCTCTTTCAAACCTCCTTCAGGAAGTCATCACAACATGGCTCCTCTATTAACCCTTTAGCAACGTTTTTACCAGTGTTGCACTGAGAAGTAGCTCCTATAACGAGCTCAGCAGATGAGCAGCTCCACCAGGTGTTTGCTAATTGCTGCTGGCTAGTCTGAAGGTGCTGAGTGGAGGAGTCACTCAGCTTGGAAACCGCAGCTCTGAGGAGGAGCTACGCTTCGAAGGCGGGGCTAAGTCCACCCACGTGTTTTGCAGCTCAATGGTTGCCATGGAGATTGAAGGATTTCTCAAACGTGTAAAAAAAGAATCAAGACAACTTTCCAGGTCTGTTTTTGATGAAGGAATATTATTATAACATAATGTAACACTAAAAAAAATTTGATTTTAGATAATGCTGCCCCTTTAAGGAATTATTTACTTAAAACAAGTTCATAGAATAAGTTACTTTTAACTTGGTTTTGTATAATTTCAAGTGTACTGAGATATTTGCAATAGAAACCAGATCAAAAATACTTTTTAAGATTTGTGTTTTTGCAGAGTGAGATGCCTTCACTGCCCTGCTGGCTAAATTAAAAGCTAACAACGTCCAACTGCAGCTCCTCATTTTAATTCGCAGCTCCCCTCTGCAATCAGACAGTTGAGTTTCTTCCACCACGCCTCCGACAGGCTCTTAATCTTATCGGGGGTTTTCTTCCTCAGAGTCATCCTCTGCTGCTGGACCACGTTACTGTCCATCTGCTGGAAGCTAGCTAGGATAGCGCCATCAAACGTGTCCTTCAGGTTCTTCTGGGTCAGCGCTGAGCACTCTGTGAAGCCCACCGCCCCGAGCTCCAGCGCCAGCCTGCGGCCTTCCTCGGTGCTCACTGGCCGCTGCTGGTTCTGCGCCAGGTGGATCAGAACCTGCACGTCTTCTCTCAGGTCCAGCTGGGTGCCGACCAGGACCAGGGGGACGCCGGGGCAGAGCTGCTGGATCTCAGGGGCCCATTTGTTGGTGAGGTTTCGGAAGGAGCAGGGGCGCACCACGCTGTAGCAGAGGAGGAAGACGTCGGCGTTTCTGTAGCAGAGCGGCCGGAGGCTCTCCAGCTCATCCTGCAGGGAGAAGAGACAGAGGAGACCGACGTCTCACATCAAACTTCTACTAAAGACGTCTTTAAAAAAGCTGTAAATCCCCTAAAAAACCTTAAAAATGTGTTTGTTAGGGAATGTCTACAGCTGAAGAATTAAACTTCTGCATTTTGGTGCCTCCATATAAGGTGATTTATTGACTAGAACCACTTTATTTAATAAAAAAAATACATATTTTTATCTATGCACAAGATTTACTGAAACTGAGTCAAACCAAAGTGAGTTTTCATTTGGACCTGTTGGTCTAAAACACAGGTTTTCTCCATTTTCACATGTGGAGTAATCTGAATAAATGTTGACAGGATAAAACAAATGTAGCACATTATAACCACTTATTAACCCAAACATAAAGACTCAATAAGAAAATATTCCACATTTGAGGTGTTTCAGCAGAAATTGGGTGTTCAGTCATTTAATAAACATCAGGTACGTCTAGAAATTCATATGTTGACTTATATTTGAAGTTCTTGCAGATTTAGTCAAATTACAGCCACACATTTCAGAATATGCAACACGACAAACCGACACATAATGATAATATGAAGTAAACTGGAAATAATACATTGTTCTTGTATTTTTTTTTTACATATAAAACTCTGACACCCCTAAATAAAATCCAATGCAGTCAATTAAATTCAGAAGTCCCTTTAATTTTTCTCATTTAGCAATTCAGCAATTATTACTAAATTATGTGAAGTTATGAATACTTCAGTGTTTCAAAATAAATATTTACCCATTTTTAACTTTTGCCACATTTTGTCATGTTCCAACTAAAAACTTCAAAGTCTTTGAGTGGAATATTATCTAATAATATAATATTGCGTGATATAAACATATATACCAATATAAAGTGTGCCATGCATTTTTGTTTGGATGCCTTTAGTCTCACAGTAAAGAAAAGAAAAGCTGCAAGAAGCTGTAAAAGATTTGAAACTGAGTTTCACCTTCCTGAAGGAAGGTACGTTAAACGTATTTCAAAGGCAGATCAGGTGTTAGAATGGCCCAGTCAAAGTAGAAACCTTAATCAAATTTAGGGTAAACTTGAAAATTAATAAAAACAATACATAACAAATCCTTTCTCCACTGATGGGCTAATAGAGTTAAATCAAAACAACTTGTTTTATCAGCGTTTTCATGCAAAATTCTTAAAGAAATATAAAATTAATTTAATATTTAGTTCAGCTCAGGGATAATAAGATCATTAATAAAATGAGAGTAGGAAAGGTGAATTATTCAATAAATCATCTAGTTAATGTTTGATAAGGAGGTTGCTGAATTAATTTCCGCCTGTATTTCACATCTAATCCAGTGGTGTCCAAAGTGTGGCCAGGGGGCCATTTGTGGCCCTTGAAATGATTTTGTTCGGCCCCTGATCAGAAGTCAACAATAGTAAGAATTTGTTGACCAAATTGGCAAAAATTTGTCCGAAATCCTACCAAGTATTTATATATTTTTTTGTACTCATTTTGATCTAAATAACTGCAGTATTGGTTACAAATGCAGTAACCCAACGTTAAATCTGCCATTTAGCCTGCGGCAATAAGCAAACACTCAATTAATTGCATGATATATTAAAATGAGCACTATAATTTATATTCTGATTAAATAATTTTTGAAGGGNAATTTTCTTTAAAAGACTTCATAATCAGTTTTGTTTATGGTTTTGGTTGTGTGTGGTTTTTATTCCTTTATATTTGTTATTTTTGTTGTGTTTTATTTTGTAAATTTAAAATATGTTCCAGTTCCAGTGTGAGGTGTTCTTGCATTATTACAGCATTATCATTATATTAGCTGAAAATGGCCTCAGAACGACAATATTATCATTTATCGCAATAATTTCTGGGACAATTTATCGTCCAGTAAAGCTTGTAATTGTGACAAATTTTCATTATTGTAAAAAAAATGGATTAAAATGTAAAATAAAACAATATGTGTATAGTTATTGGATATATTGGCACCACCATGTTACATCAGGAGGATTTTCTGAATCCTGTCAGTCTGTTTTATTGTAAAGTCTAAATCTTTTCCCCTCAATTCTCTTTTTATATGTAAAAAGCACTAAATAAATGGTACAATTAACATTATCACAACAAGAATAGTTATTACCTTTCTTAATAAAAACACCTTAATTAGCAGATTCTTATGTTACTGCATCTGTGGGATGTTTTACAGGGAAATAAGGGTAAAACTGGAAGACTGTAGTTTTCTTTTTATCCTGTAGGGGGCGATGCGGAGCTACCACATAGGTTCAGACCAGGACAGCAAGGTGAAGACAACAGAGAGAAAACGATCTACCAACAGAGGAACCAACCAGAGATCAGGAACAACTTACATTAACTGATCCATCAACTGGGCCCCATTTCTACCATGGCGACGCAGGGAAGAAATGATCGGAGTTTAAACTGACACTGCAGAGAGAACTCACACATGTCCGGTATTCATTTAACAAGCACAAACTCACCTGTCCAGCAGTGTCGCACAGCTGCAGTCTGACTGGTTTCCCATCAACCACAACCATCACTGCAATAAAAATCCAAAAACACCAAACAATGTTTCCCAGTTTCACACGTTAACGTTAAATCGATTCTTTGTCGGAAAACGTCGCTAAAAATGATAAGCCTCCGCAGATCAGACAGCCCACACTGTGCGTAATTCCCACACCGCGCCTCGCTGACAGTGGAGCTCACCGGTGAAGTTGTCAAACGCCGTGGGAACGTACTCCGTGGGATACCCGTTGGTGGTGTAGCTCACGATGAGGCTGGTCTTGCCCACGGCTCCGTCTCCGACCAGGACGCAGTTCACTTTGCACTCAGGAGTGGAACCGGACCAGCGGCGCTTTGCGCTCTGTGGGAAGTCACGGTTCTTGAAGCGCCGCGGCGGGACCGTGGGTCGGTCTCCACCGTCAAACGGCTCTGAAACGCGGCAGGGCTTCTGGTTCCCCACGTCGCGGGGTAACATGCCTCTCTCTATCGATTTGGTCCTAAATAGTGCTCGGTTTAGTCGCGCAGCTCCATCTTCCTCACGCAGCTCCGTTGACGCTTGAGTTGGCAGCAGCAGGTCGGTAAGCGGGTTTACTGTGAAGTGTGTCAGTGGTGTAAAGCAGACTGAAGTTTCTCTGCGCAGCGGGAGCAGCTGATTGGCATTCTCTACATCTGTCATGGTCGTGCGTCTTAAGAGGCTTACTGAGCAGAACACCATCTGAACCTCCAGGGCTTTCCAGTGAAACCAACCCAGCTTACTGGAATCCTCTGACCCAAACACACTGCCTACCTATTTAAAAAAAAATAAAAATAAAATAAAATTATATATATATATATATATATATATATATATATATATATATATATATATATAATTCAAACTCACTTTGCTCACATTTATTATTTTATTATATGTTATACCAATATGAAAGTTTGTAAAAGTAGAATTTTTTCCCCTAAATTATGAGTTAGAAAAAAAAAAAATAATATAAACGCAGATACATTTCACAGCTTTGAAAACATTTATTTTCAATCTGCCTTTTAAAACTTTAAAGATAAGAAAGAGTTCTGTCGCCCTCCAAAGGTCAACACACTAACTGCAACAACAAACTTAGTCATGGACAGTTCCAGTCCTGTAAAGCAAAAGTTTATTTATTTACGACCTTCACAATAATTACATCATAAGATAAATTAGAAAATAAGAAATTAAATTAAGTTTGACTAAGAAAAATATATTAAAATTGGCAGTGAAATACCAAAATAATTGTCATTTTATCAGATTTCCTTAGGTGAGCTGTGGATCATATGCAGCTCCTAATTGTATGAGCAAATAGTGCATTATTGTGAAGTGGGAATAAAATGATATTTTCTTAGGTTTTTAAAAATAATTTTTTTAGATAATCTGAAAAGTGTGGCACGGATTTGCCTTTTGGACAGTGTAATATGACTATAGTATCATGTCTGTAGCAGTCGTTAAAACATTAGCATGTTGTAGAGTCTATAGCATAAGATCCCAACAATTAAGGCTGAAACAATTAATCAGATTAATCATTATGAACTGATTAATCAAATAGTCATCAACTAGTTTAGTAATCAATTAATCAATAACTAAAGTAAACAGACTCAAAAAAAGCAATTTTCTGAAAAACAATATTCACAAGTTAAGGAAGTTAAACCAAAAATTTACAAAAATATTCATTTAGCTTTTGAGATTATAAAAAACTTCTTTTTGTGTAAATATGTCCTACCCAGAACTTCCCATGTGGCAAAGATTTAGCTTCACCTGGTCCAAATTCTGTAAAAATCTCCTATTAATCACCTTTTACTATCCAGTTATTGATTTAAAATATCAACCCATCAGCCCTAAACTGCATTGAAAGGGCTGAGCTTCACACATGTTGCTGTTAGAAGAATATTTGCATTTTAGCTGCAGATGCATCCTTTTCTACAAATGATCAGGCGTACCCTAAAGGAAAGCTGTTTCTGCATTTTAGGTTATAAATTATTCATTTTAAAAAAATAAAGGAATGTACTTATTTGTATGTTTGCACATTTTTAATATTTTTAAACTATGAAAAATATCTGCATAATTTGACAAATGTGACACATGACACAAATGACAAATCAGAACTAAAAGAAAATTAAAAAATCTATGAATAAGTGCGAGTTACAAAGATAAATTCTATACCTTATCTTTTATTTTTGTAGCCATTTTGTTGTTTGGGTCCGAGACTGAAACAAGATGCATTACAAAGAGGTCAAAATTGGTTCCCTCTATATTTTTTACTTTTATGAATGTGGAACTTAGAAAACAAAAAAAGACCAGGTTGATAATAAATGTGGCAGAGGAGTTTTCATCTTTAAATCTGTGATACAAAACAAAACAAAAAGAGGAAGAAATCTGGTTTGACGTTACTGGAGATCAGAGCAGCGATGTGTCATGAGCATTTCAAAAAATAAAAAATATACATGTACAGAAGACTCTGGATAAAGTTGGAAATATCAGGTTCGATGCAGAGGTGTATCCAAAAATTATATTCAAGTAAGAGTAGTGATACTTCAACATATTTATTCTCAAGTAAAAGTAAAAAGTATTTGGTAAAAAGTATATTCAAGTACTGACTAACTGATCAAATTATCAATAATTTAATCTTTAAAAATGACATCAACAAACGGACCAAAACGGACAAAATATAAAATTTGGTTAAAACATGTTTGCTTTTTTTATTTTGCGATGCTTCATAATAAAATTACTCAAGTAAAAGTAAAAAGTATGGCGCAGTAAAAATACTCCTGAAAGTAAATGTTTTTCAAAAAGCAAATGTAATTGAGTAAATATAACTAGTTACTACCCAACTCATGTTCAATGGGTGTGAATACTTTTGCATGCCACAGGCTCCCTTTCAGCATAATGCTCTACAACACAGAGGAACAAATTGTGTGAAGCATAAAATAATCTTTAACCAGCCGCTGACATCTCTGCTTAACAGGATTAAGGAGAAGTCAGTGGAAAACAGCACATTTCTGCCAGACCTGTGAAAGGATTGAGACATCGTTTGGCTCCAGGAGCTGGCACAGAAATAAACCCATACACTGGTTAATACAAAGCTGCTACTGTTGGCCTCCACCTGCTCCAGCGTCTGATAAACTAGACACCTAATCAGGACCTTTAGGGAGTCTGGGAGTGAGCAAATACATTAACTCAATTTAGAGTTTGGGATTAAATACACACAACGGCATCCCTCTGCTTTTCCTCTCTGGTTCTGCAGGGATCAGCTTCATTCCCCTTCACCCTCTCCTTATCTCTGTGTTTACCCTCTCCCACTCTTTCTGTCACTCTCTCCCCCCCTCCACGCGCCCTCCACCCTCTCGGGAGGGGCTCTCAGACTCTATAGTTATGGGCCGGGGCCATCTGTCACCGTGCACATTCATACAACCACCAGAAGGCCACAACATGTGCCGGTTTAAATGGAGAACCCAACTTTCCCAGGACACACAGGCCTGACCCCAGCAGCCCTTCCTCCCCCTCCATCCTGCAACCATCAACACCATCCAGCATCCCCAAAAACCCCACCCAGCTGCCACACCCTCCTCCACCAGCACCTCCAAGAAATACTGTCTGCATGTGAATCGGTGAATTAGAGCCCCAGCCCCCCAAATCTACACCCAAATAAGTGTGTTTAAGACGGGGTGGGTTGGAGGAGAATCAGCTGATTGGTGAACCCGATGGAGGATGGATGGAAAAGGAGCGTGGGTTTTTGTCGCTGGGAGGACAATAGGGATCGCCGGGAGGGGGAGTATCACACGCTTTTGCTTTGTGGCTCGGTCAACAGGCGTGTGCCACGGGTGTCGTCTCGCCTCCCCTCGCCTGCTGTCCAACTCCTGGAATGGACCAGAAGCCATGAGAACCGGTGCCCCGGGCCCTTTAATGAGGGGCGTGCTGTTTCTTATCAAAGATGGACAAGCTATCATTACAATCATCATTAGAAGCTGCACAATGGAGCACGCCTTCCTCGGCTATGGATGGGAAAATCCTCCGACGGAGCCGGGACGCCGGGTCCTGCAGTGGGGGGCAGAAGGTTTTTGTTTTGTTTTTTTAAAGCCTGGAGCTGTGTCAGTTTATTAAACGCTTGTTCAGGACAAATAAACCCAGAAATAATTTGTACTAAACTCTGCAAACAAACTAACAGACCTTTTCCCACTGGTGATGGCGTTCCATCTAGGCCTGTCGTCATAAGCCATTAATCAATTAATTTCTCAATAATTTCCATTTGCATGACTCTTCGTTTGTCTCTTTCTATCAAAAACTGGATGATAAAAGTCTTCAAAATGGTGCATAAAGAGACTTTATAGCTCATTTTATTTGTTGTTTTTGTTGTTTTCTTCTATTTTGGATATTTAAAATGTTTTCCAGAGCTTTCTCTGTTGAGTGCTTCCCTTTTAAATGTCGGCTACAAGGTGAAATACAGTTTTAAAGTAAAAAATGAAAAGTACTTGGTAACTGTAGTCAAGTGGATTTTTCAGATGTCTTGAGTATTTATCAACTTTTTACTTGTACTTCCTACATTTTAAGAGAAATACCTTTACAAAGCACAATTAGTGACGAATGTGCCAGTGTTTAATGCATCATAATCCTAATTGAGGTTTGAAGAAAAACTAGACTCTTATGTTATATCTGAACCAACACAGAGCATGTTGTGAACAAAAATAAAGTGATTAGAACTTTTTAAGTATTTTTAAATTATCTAAAGTGACTTTATATTCTTGAAAATTTAAATTACTTTTTACGTTTTTGTGCTGTAGTACATTTCAAAACTTGTATTTTATTTTTTTACTTTTACTTGAGTAAAACAGTCCAACCTGTACAGAAGATGATCAGGGCCACTGAAAAAATAATAATTCTGGCTTTAATCTCAGAATTGTGAGATTATTTTTTTCAGTGGCCCTGATTGTCTTCCATAAACTTGTACTTTTGGTTTTACTGGAGTACTTTTCATAAGTATCTGTACTTCTAGAGAATGTGAGACGTTTTGACACCTCCGAGTTAAATGAGGCTTGAATGAGGACCTTGATTCGGTCTGTTGCTGGTCCGTTTGGCCCTCTGGGTTAAAATGTCATGCACTGTAACTCTGCCTTCAGTTTGTCATCATTATTGTGGGCTCAGAAAACATGTTGCCGCTCCGTGGCCTTTCTTGAGAGCCTCCTCCAAATTCATTTTAATTCTGTCCGCCGACCTGCGGCCAAGGCCACAAAAAGCATTGTCATGCCGCTGAAGACGGGAGGATGTAAGGGTGAAGTGTGCGTGTGTTTTCAGGAGGATGGGGTGGGGCATGACACTGCAGCAGCGGCAGCTGGCAGCCCAGCTTGCAGGGGCCATCTCATCACAATGGACAGCCTTCCCCTTGGGGCCAGTGATTTAGGACAGGCCTCTCCGGACAGGAGAGGGACACTGGCTTTGCAGCCTCTTCTCCCCTCCTTCTCCACCGGTTCCCGTGCTCCCGCCCCAGCGCCTCCACTTACACTCTCCTCATCCAACTGTGACAAAGCTCTCTCCTGGGATGGGGAGGCGGGCCTGTAGATGGGAGCATTCCTAAGGTGTAGCAGGCTAACTCATGCCAGACACAGGAGGGGGAAGACAACAGGTGCATGTGGATCCGCTGACATCCAGCAGCAGCTGAGAGATAGGGACACGGGGGTATTATAGCACCATTATGCGCCGCTGCTGCACCGGTGGGCTGCTGGACCTGCTTTTTTTTTTTTAAACAAAACAAGGCTTTTTATGTGTAACCTAGTCTTGCTCCAACAAGCCTGTTTGTCGTCCTGCTACCTCGGCCAACACCTGCCACCGCAGCAACATCCAAAACAAGAGCTAGAGATGGCAATTACTGACTAATGAGTTAAGCTAAAGTCAGACTGAGTCGGGTACTAACTACTTACATTTACGCAATTACATTAACATTTTTGAAGAAGATCTACTTTTAGGAGTATTTTTACTACACTGTACTTTTTACTTTTGCGTTATTAGGAAGTATTTCTACTCTTACTTGAATAAAATTTCTGGATTTTCAAACATGTTTTAACCAAAAATTCACCAGACTCAGAGACACACCAGCAGATTTTGTTAATGTTTCGTAAGTTTTATTTAGAAAGAAACTGATTTGCCTGATTATGTTATATTTTCTTACTTATATCATAAATTATTGTCATCTTGGTCCTTAAAATACCAAAATTTCCACTTAGCTTCATATTTTGGTCTGATTATGTGATTTTTAAATATTATGATGTACTTGAGAAGATTGTTTACCAAATACTTTTTTACCCTTACTTGAATAATTTGGATGGCTACTTTTTACTTTTATTTGAGTAAAAATATGTTGAAGTAATCTTAATCTTACATGAGCACAATTTTTGTGTACTCTACCCACCTGTGGCTAAAGTTGATTGATCATTTCGATCAACTAACAATTATTTTTTCTTAAAAACCTGAGTTTACTCTAAGTATCAAGAGAAGGGGGTCTTTTCATGGGTACAATTTTCATCCTGAATTTAAAAAACAAACATTATTATTTATCAGCTGCATTTAATACTGACTACACAAACAGAAAATCGTGTTTTGTTTTATAAACTTAGGAACCTCTTAGTTTGCTAAATAGAAAAATAAAAGATTAAAAGAATAAAATATGTGAAACACTTAACTCCCCATGGGCACATTCATACACAAGGAATGTTTTAAAATTTCGCCATGATGCGCTTTAACTTACAGCCGCTGTGCTTATTAGCGCCATATTTCTTCCCCATCATGTAAAATTTTTCTCCGTCTTCGTAGCACTTAACGCAACTCCGTCATACAACACGGCTGAATGAGCGCTGCGGCGAAACCTCTTCTATATGTGCGGTTCTGCACTGAAAACTCTTACCTGTTTTCGCACTGCCGCCATGTTTGTTTCTGACTCCGCTTCAGAATGACCAGCGGCGCCCTCTGCTGGATGGCGGCCAAACTACAACGCCGAAAGAAGGTCTGCAGTAGTTAATTGGTAATCGAGTTGAAAAATTTGTTTTAAAAACAAACCATTAGTCGACAATTAATAGTAAGTTGATTAATTGCTTGTATAATCTGGACCTCTGGTCTGACTCACTCTAAATCCAACCCAGTGGAAAGAAAACTTGAGCTGACAGGTCTGGAGAAATCCCACCACTTCCAACCGGAGCCCTGAAATGCCCTTTTTGCACCTCGGCCCCCTGCCTCCTCCTCCTCTGTCCCTCTGAATTATGTTATATCTCAAATGAGCAGTCATACAGCAGATTGTTTGGTGTGGCCGCATTGACATAACTGGTGACAAAGCCTCTAACAGAGCGAGTGTCCTGAGGGGATAGGCAGTATTTGGTTACTGGATCGTTGATCGCTCCCCATTGTGATCCACTCTGGGTCCCATAGAAGGTTGAAAGGAGGTTTGGGGAGGGGGGGATGTGTGTGCATATGTGGGCCCACAACGCAGGTGTCTGCATCTGTTCATTTCTGGGCAGATGCTCAAGGCTGGAAAGATACAGAGGGAGAGTTAGGGACAGGGGAGGGGAGGAGAAGAGGGGCTTCTTCCTTTTACTGTTGTCTTTTAATGATTAAGCAACAACGGAAAAAATAAATAAAGTGTTTAAGACACATAGGGATCTAAATAAATTAGAATCCAATCAAAGAGCTTATTTATTTGAGTATATAATTTCAAAAAGTCACAGGGTGATGTTTTTCACATGTTGATTTCTGTCCATTCAATCTAATAATAACATAATTTTTTTAGTTATCCTTTATTTAATTATTTATTCTGTGTTCTGGCATATACTTTTATTTATTTATTTATTTACTGTCTTTCTCTCCAGAATGAATGTTTTAGAAATAATTTTTAAAAATCTATTATTTTAGTAATTGATTATTCTATCAATTATCCTTACGATTTAATTGACACATTCTACAGATTTTTCATTTAACCGCTTATGCCCTTTTATGCTGTTATAGAAACACATTAAAAGATGCAAGTAAACAAATAACTCAGTTCTGTCTTTGAATGAGAAAATAAACATTTTATTGACTAAAATGTAATAACAAAGCATTCCTGTAGTAAATTTGTAGCAGGTTAAGCTAAATCAAAACCACTTCAGATGTTTTGGGTAAAACATATTTTCAGACAAATGTACCTACATTTTGTACAGTTTTGGCTAGTTGCTGCTCTGACTGTGTTGTTCTTTCTGCAGCTGGACTTTATTGAGCCTGTACAAAGTTAACAATAAATCGATTACAAAATAAGTTAACGATTAATCAATAACTTCATCAGTTAAAGATTTTTCTATAATCAATTCATCAGGATTAATTGTTTCAGCCATAATTTTATTTATTTGTTCTTATAGACAATGAAATCCAAACAAAGATTTATCTGAAAATGAAATGCCATCTTGGACAAATAAAATGCTGTTTATATGTTTTTTAGGTTATGCCAGAGCTTTTACACACGCTAAGCCACTCTTGAAGCAGAAACAACATTAGAAGTGAAAAACTGGCTCAGTGGTCCAAAATGCAAGATGAAAGCACATTTTGCATTGTATTTGGAAATCAAGGACTCAGAGTCTGGAGAACGAGTTGAGAAGCTCAGGATTTAGTCAGTAACGATTTGGTGAGCTATAGCATCTTCAAAATTTGAAAAACACATAATCCACAGGAATAAATTCTTGAAATAAATAGCATTGTGTAAAATGAATCTATACCCAAGTTTCATATGAGCCAACCGTGAGATGCACCAGGGATAAGAAGTCATCAAGACGGTTCTCAGCAACATACAAAGTTCTTTAATGGCATGTCATTGTGTCATTTGGACCTTAATGATGCCAGCATTAACACAGAAAACTCAGCTGAGATTTCTAAGCTGAATGTAAGATACTTAGCGTTGGTCTGTTATATAAATACAAAATAAAAAAACAGACTATTACAAGAAGTGAAAACTGTGCAAACAACTCTGTTATTTATTTTGTAGATCAAATAATGTGAAAATAACAGTAGGGATGCTATGTGACATGAGGAAAACTGATAACAGCAGGAATGTAAACATTTATTGACTCCTTTGGGAGCACTGATGGTTATAAAGTCCTTTGTGCACCAAGGATGCAGCAGTCTGTCACTGAAGGAGCTTTTAGTTTGTAACAGCTTCATGCATGAGGGGGACAAAACTGTCCAACAGGGGTTACTCAGAGTCCTTATGTCTTCCACTAGGACTATAGCTAAAATAAGCTTCCTGTAAAAATAAAAGCCTTGCACTGGAACCAGAGTAACTAATTTTGCTCCACATCATGTTTTTAGCATGAGCTGAAATGACAGCTCCTTGAGCCATGAAAATACTTTTTATCGATGAGGGTAGGAAACTGATCACTTGGTATGCTAAAAATTAAATTAATAATGTTAATTAATTGACAATGTGAGTAGTGTTAATAGTCGTGTGATATGAATGTATTGGTGTTACTTATAGCTTCTGATGTTAGTTCTTGTCTTTTTCTTGGTTAAAAAAAAGACAAGAACTAAACAGGTTTAAACGTTGTTAGCATCACTACTTAGTGACGGTTAAATAACTGCAAGCCTGTAGCCTTTAAAATGTCAGTTTTTGCCGCTAGCATGATGATCGTGATTTAGCGTTAAAGTTAACTTAGCCGTTAGCCTTGAACCGTTAGCCATATTACTTCCATAATACATTGTTCAGGTTAAAACTTTATGACAAAAGGGATTAATACTTAAGAAATGGAAATGATTATATGTTTAGCATAGTTATTTTAATCAGTCTGAGTTGTGTTTATTTGACGCTTAGCCGTTAGCCTTGAACCATTAGCATCGAGCCGTTAGCCAGATTACTTCCAGATAATATACACTGTTTAGGTGAAAACAATATTTATGACAAAAGGGATACCTAAATATAGTTTTCTTTCACTCGTGTTTACTCACTTATTTATTTGCCTAATTAACCGCTACAGTCAGAAAGCACACTGGGTTTATGACGCTTTACTGGTTCCTTCTAAATAAAAGCATGAATATGAAAACATAACTGCTTGAATAATTATGGTATCCTGTTTTTATTTTTGTACATAAACTCATGCATAGAAGGAAACACTTTTAATGCATCCTTGTTTTGTGTTGTCAGTTTTCTTTGAAAGTCTAGTTCACTGTATGAATGGAAATGATTTAGCATTGTTATTTTAATCAGTCTGTGAGTTGTGTTTATTTGACCCTCTGTCTATTTACCATAACAGTTGGCATGTCGTTGCGCTAACAGGAATATTTGCTGTGGGTAAACTTGTTGCGCACATTATCAGTTGTTGAATTATCGATTTTTCTTCCTAGGGACCCACGTGCTCTGGTGTCACCCCCTCGCGCGGCAGATGTGTTTTCATAAACACTGGCACGCGACTCACAGCTCACTGTCTGCCACTCCCTGCGGACCCCAGTGTGCCTCTGCGCACGCGTGTGCGTGTACACAACCCACCCCCATGCACACACACATCACTGCAAAGGGCGTCTCTGGCCCACCAACGTAATTACAGGGGCACTCTTTACAGAAATTTAATGCACGTCATGTCTCCAGTAGCAGCAACGTATGCAAATGAGGCGGCGGTCCGCACTGGGAGGCTGTGAGGAGTCGTGGGAAGCCGCGTGGAGCCCCAGCGGAACCCCGAAGAGCCCAGGGGGAAACGCGGGTCTGGCCCGTGGCCCCTGCTCCCGCAGCAGCTGGCCGCAGTAATCTGATCTGGACACAAAAGAAGCTGTTGATTTCGTTTTCAGCTGATAAAACACACCAAGCAACACGCAGCTCTGTTCTGGTCCTTTGGAACTGTTATGTTGTGCAAGTTATGAGTTTTACGTTTTGTTTTTACGGACGCAAAATGGCGCGTCTCCATCCCAATTCCTGAAGCTTTTGTACTCATTTAGTAGTTACATTTACTCAGAAGTAGGCAGAGTATGCAAAAATTGTGCTCAAGTAAGAGTAGCAATACTTCAACATATTTCTACTAAAGTGAAAGTAAAACGTAGCCGTCCAAGAAATTACTCAAGAGCAAAAACGTATTCCGTAAAGCCTACTTAAGCACTGAGTAATTGATCAAATTATCAATCATTTAATGTTTAAACATTACATCATCAGATGGACCAAAATATAAAGTTAAGTGGAAATGTTGATATTTTAAGGACAGAAATGACAATAATTTATATAAATAACAAAAAACAACAAAATCAGGCAAAAGAAATGTTTCCAAATCAGTTTATTTCAATAAAAAAAACTTATTAAACTTTAACAAAAACTGCAGGTATGTGTCTGGTGAATTTTTGGTTAAAACATGTCTGTTTTTCATTCATTGGGTAGAAAATCCAGAAATTTTACTCAAGTAAGAGTAAAAATACTTCATAATAAAATTTTTACTTTTACTTGAATAAAATTTCTGGATTTTCTACCCACTGAATGAAAAATAACCAAAAACTCACCACAGACAGACACACACCTGCAGGGTTTTTTTTTTATACCCAATATTTTTTTTTACTCTTGAGTAATTTCTTGGCTGTTTTTTACTTTTACTTGAGTATAATCATGTTGAAGTAGCGCTACTCTTACTTGAGTACAATATTTGGTGGGTACCTCTGCCGGTGGCATCATGGTGGGTGCGCTTTATTCTGTGGGAGGAGGGAAAAAAAAAAAAAAGCATCAATATTGGGTAAAAAAAAAGTCAATTGATGACCACAGTTTGGCACTCTCACCCTCCCCTTCCCCAATCAACGCCTCTTATGATCAATATCGTGTGATGCGCGCTGTGTTTACGTTCCCACGAGTGACCATGTGGTGTCTCCTCCTAAGGGACCAGGAG